ATAATTAAAAAGTGTTAAGAAACTTTGATTAAAAAAAAAAAACTTAGCCTATCTGTTCAAGACAGATTTGGTTATAAAATGGAAGACTAGTTCCATTATCGTATACCAGTGGTCCGTGGGTGGAGCCAAAACATTCTGTATGGTTAGTGGTATGCCGTTGGTTTCCAGGTACTCTAGTAGTGGCTTACGAGCGGGTTTCAGTTCAGTGCATTGAATGAGGATATGCGACCTTGTGGCAACGTGGCCGCAGCGACATTTAATGGCGTTGAACTGATGGTCTCGTAGTACGTTGTTGGTCCGGAGTCTGGTTGCCACTTTGCAGATGGCTACACATGGATGGTTTGGTTTGGTTTGGTTTGGTATCTTCGGATCAATCTGGTATCTTGCGGTGTCGAGGTTCCGTAACATGTTTGACCATTTCTGGTTGATCCTAGAAGATACGATACTGCAGAACTCCGAATAGGAGTATTCTACAGGCTCGATATCCTCCAGACTCAGACTTTCTTTGGCACAACGGTCTGCTTGATCATTGCCAGGAATGGAGACGTGCGATGGAACCCATACTAATTCAATCTTCTGGTTGTTGTTGGTTTGGTAGTTGTGGAATATAACCTTAAGGTTGAAAATTTCACTTTTATAGACCCGATAAGCTACTAAGTCGATGGAGTTTCTTGGCCGTGGGCGCCACTGGCTTGGATGCTTGTCAAGAAGAACTTTTCTTCAGCCATCCTTAAATGTCAATCCACAGCGGAAATGACATCATCTTTACAGGGATAATTTTTCATTTCGGTAAACTGGATCTCATCCATGGTACCCATCTTACAGGAACTTTAATCATTCCTGAAGCCGTTGGTGATAATGTGCTCAAACCTCTCATTGGAAAAGCCCACAAGACCGGCGACATGATGCTGATGTTTTCTGGAATGGTTGATCTTGAAGGCATTCCTTTACACGGGCTTTTGTCAATGTCATGATTGAATAACAAAGCCCATCTCTTTTGAATGGTAAAGAGATTGGAAAATAAAGAGAAAGTTAAAAGGTGAAAGGTCTTACTTTAAAGTGAAAATTGAGCCCTTTAAATGCACAAAATTCATCTCAGTCCATCTGAAATCTGTTGCCTTCCGAAAGCCATTGGTAGCATCCCACCCCTGGCCTCGCTTCAGAGAGACACCTCTGATTTGTGCCCCCACCCCCTCCTCTCTCCTCAGACATTTTCTGTATACGCCCCCGAATCTCTGAAATACTTAAATTAAAAATGTGTGCCTGGCGGTGTAATATCATTGAAAGAATTCTCTTTCAAATTGAGTGAAATATAGCTTTCATTATAAGGCCCGTATTTCCAAACTTTTTCCAGGGGATCCTGCACGCAAATACCCCTATGATTGCCTCTCGCCTTTGGCTCTCGCTTCTGTGGTGGCTGGATAAGTTAGACATTTACTTGATGGCTAACCTGATGGTCTAGGGTTCGATCTCGACATAGGTCGAGATAATACCAACCCAGTTTTCTCTTAGTAACGATGCAAGTCAAAGGGGCTGACAAGGAAATACCGTCTAATTGTTCGGATCGTATTGCGGAGAATTTTAAATCCTGTTTGGGATTTTAATATGGATGACAGGTCTAATTTAATCTACCATGACCAACGGAGATTGTATATACAGGAAAAATAAAAACCCCTGCATTGTTTTCAGGTTATCCGTTATACATGATACTGATGATAGTATAGACAGGCATCTTAGTAAAATAAGATGTTGATATGAACCCCCACGATGCATTAAAACATGTCTCACACGTCGCTTATCACATCCTTGAGCACACTTGAAATTTTTAAATGAAGATAAGATAAAAAATAAACCAGTAAATAGACTCCTTTTCTCCTGGTCCATCTCGTATAAGTTTCCCTCAAATTTACCGTTTCATTCAGAAATCTGATATCGATTCTTGGTATCGTTGCTAAAATAATGCATCCTCGTTCGAGCTGGTGCCCTAAATGATGTTACTTTGCCTATGATCTGAACAATCTCATATCTGCATCCGAGATTTGACATATGAACATTGCATAAAGCGTGCATTTGACAACATTTGCATAATCGTGCTTTTATTACTTATATAATTCTAGTTCCGCATAGTTTTACTTCAAATATTTAACCCAATTATATCTTGACATTGAGAATTATATACATTGTCATGTAGTATAGATGGATTCTTACGCTAAATGTTACATACAATATTTCTTAACCTGTGCATTATCTTTCAAGGAAAACCTGTTTTGGCCCTTTTTTGAATTCTTCATAGTCATATGTAACACCTCGGTAATTCCAGGCCTGCGATGACAAAATACGTAGCATTTGCAAGCTTTCCATTGGAATTACAATCCTGACTCTTAATAACAATTCTGTATTCTTCGAAAGAGAGTAGACGCATGGTACTGCAAAATTTACCCCAATGTACACTGTATTGCATCGTCTGTCTTCATTTGTGTAAACGTCCTAAATCAATTGAACCAAAACTAACTATTCTACGGTAACTGAGTTAAAATTCAAGCTGATTGACACTGATTGGTGATAATTAGTCTAATCAGTCGGCACATTCTGAACCATGGAGTCACCGTTTGTTCGTAATTACTCACATCCAGCCTTCCGCGGTCGGGTAAGTGGTGGAGCCAAAGGGGGGGGGGGGGGGGGGGGGGGGGGG